GTGCTAGCTGAGATGTTGTACAGAACTATTGGCGAAAGGGTTGGAAGGAATTGACAGCTGAAAGATAGCATTAACGGGGACCGCGTGAGCGGCGTCCCGAGTGCGAGTTGGGAAGCCGTCACGGCTCCTTGAACAAGAGTATGCCCCAGTCGGTCTTAGTGGGCACAAGCGGGCAACTATCCTCGATAAAGGGGGAGACGTACATTGCCGTAGGTATGCAGTAAAAATGGCGACTGCACCCCCCTACGTACGAAGTACCTGCACCTAATGCTGACTCTGATGAGGGTTTCCAGCTTGAAGCTGAAACCTCGGGCGAATAAAGGTCTTGTACCTGCCGCTGTGACTACTTACTGGAACACTCCAAACTTTGGTATAATAGCCGTGGATTGACGGCATCGTGCGCCATAACTCTTTGCAAAACTTCCCACTGAGCACTGATGGGCTGCACGCCTGAGAAGATGCGGTACGCTTATTCATATGCTTATCGGCTAACTGATTTCAGGCGACTTGTCCTGATCGTGTTTTCCTTCCTCATTAGGTTGTGAATCCATACTGTTTCTATCCTTCGTAACACACATGCATTGCTTGAAGAATCTGATAACAGGAAGCATAGAATGAACTTAATTGCTAACCAAACTTCTATTTTTTTTCAGATTCTTCCAAAACTCAGTTCCGATAAACCCCCTGATGATGGAGCTTACATTAATGGCCTCTTCCTTGATGGCTGTCGGTGGGATTATGATATGTGAGTTATCGTTTCAAGTCACTGGCTAAACCCATCCAAAAATCATAGGGGATTGTAAAATTTATTCAGTTTCGGGGTGGTCTGTCTTACCAAATATTCCTAAAAAAAATGACCCCATTCGAACTGGTGGACAATGGACAAACTTGAACCAACCTAGATCAGAATTTCGTCTACCTCGCGCACTTTGGCGAATGCAGAAGGATTGGTCCTAATTGCTGCATCCGATTCCCTGTTCGAATACGGGCTTTCGTAGGATAAAGCGCAGATAGTACTGCTAGTTTATATATAGCAATTCGGCAAGCCGTAGTAGCCATGGTGACAGAAGTGAATAGCGGAGGGTGAAAACTAGTTTACTCTTGGCTGGACTTTTGTATGCCTCACTTATGGTCAACAGGCAAGTTTGCTGTCCTCTACATGATTGACTGTAGTGTTTGTCGTCACTGCTGAAGCCTGTGTATCAAGGGCCCGAAAGTTGTCTTAGCGGTTTCTGTAGCATCCGACCATCCCCACTGAGCGTTCAATCAGCTACTCGTTTTTTTGCAGGGTGGCGTAATTAAGAGCATTGCATAAGTCACAATAGGTCTTCCAAATTCCTAATTTTTCTCAAAGGAGAGGATTGTGAATGCGCATCTAGTTCAGCATACGGGAATATGAGGTATTAGAGTTACGACAGAGGAAGATTTACTCTCTCTGGAAAGATGCGCAAGGCCACCTTTATTACTTGGGCTGTGCATTCCTATTCCTCGCCTACACTAACAGTGGCAGACAAACTGGTTTGCATAGTTTACTCGATTTTGCCTTTATTTCTTTCCACGAACACCTAATCAGCATGAAACTCGGTGACCAGAAACCCAAGGTTCTGAATGAGCCCATGCCGGCAATCTGGCTGCAGCCAATAGAGAAGGCCAAGAGCAAAGTCCTCCAGGGCACAGGCAATCTCTACATGTGTCCGGTGTATAAGACCAGTGAGCGACGTGGTACCCTCTCCACTACTGGTCACTCAACCAACTTTGTCCTGCCTATCTACCTCCCGTCGCAGCAACCGGTCACCTTTTGGACAAAACGAGGTGCTGCGCTACTCTGCCAACTGGACAATTAGACAATTCGTCTTTCTCATCGCAAAGTCGAGGACTGTAAAGCTGCTGACGTGAACTCGGAGGAACGACTCAGGTCTCTGAGTTTATTGGATAAAAAAGAGCCAGTTCTGCCTCCCACTCCACCGGTCTGTAGTTCCTCAAGTTAATACTGCTAGCTTCCCTCTCAATTGCACAGTCTCTCACTACACCCAAACCCCCTTTAGTGTGTACACTTGCATTGAAAAAAACACCCAATCTTGATCGTAACACGATATTGTGATAGTTGAGCTTATTGACTCGTGATTTATCCATTACGAAGGGAGGAATTTCCTAAAGTAAATGGAAATCAGTCATGCCTGACAGAAAACAGCACTAAAGAACTTGGCCAGAAGAGTTTATAGTGATATCTCTAAATGGATCGAACGATTTTGGTTTTAAAATTGGGCTCTTATCTCAGGCGCAAATGTGCATTGCACCCATGTTCTATGATACTATTTCAAGGGGTGAACCTCTTAATTGACCATAATGATAAACCAATTTCATCGCCCCCTCCTACCTTCGTTTATTTTATCGAAGGCTTAAAGTGACCGAGCATTAGAAAAAAAAACAAATTTTGCATGCAAAATGGGTTTTTATTAAGAAACAACGTATAAAAAAGAACAGGAAATTCTGGACGACTTTAGTCTTCCAAAATACTTAGCTTTAGCCTGCAAACTCTGGAGATAAAAACTTGTTAAAGTTTCTATCGAAAGCGCTGTCGCAAGTTACGCTCGTAGAACATTAATTAATTAATAGCTACTTCTGACAAAGACAAAGAAGGTTGTGATGTATATTCCTGGCCTTAATGTGTCATCGATCATACCCCAAATCCAGCCGGAAAGACTAAGAGATTTAAATCAATGTCATTTTGGCCCTGAAGCGGCAGAGTCAGACAGGCCACTGCCTTACTCACGTCCCGTCACCTGGCCTACATGTCAGGAAGGTACATTCAATTCTTCCTGGTCCTCGACAGACCATGCGGGCAATTCGGCTAAAGTACAATAAGTGTCCTCCACACTTCATAAGTCGTGTAGCAGTGGGACGCTGACACGAGCCCCCAATGGTCGAAAGCACAAAGGATCTCAGATCAGACGGCAGAGAACAGAGAGCGCGCAGGCGACACCACTAGCATCCTGGAAAATGACGTCGTCAGCTTTGTCGAACGTTTAAGTGGTTCGCCCGGGCGCGAGGTTTTGGCGGCGGGGGCCAATTCAGTTGGCGTGCGTACGTAGGCTTTCGATAAATTCTCATTGGGTAAAAGTTAAACAAGCGGTCAATAATCTTCTTCCTCTCATACAAGCGAGTCGTGGGAATGGTGGGAGGGGGGCGTGGGTAGGCGTATGTGATAGAAGGCTGGTTAAACGGCGGACAGTGTTTGGTGAAGC